CCCGCCTCCCTATTTCCTCCCCCCCTATTCCCCCCCCTTCTGCCCCCCGCCCCCCCAGCCTGTGTCTCACCCACTGACTCCCCTCAGTCTACATCTTCACTGACTGCCTATCTCTTGTATGCAGACCAGACCAGCCTCTGGCTTCTTTACTTTTCATTCCATCCAGGAAGAGCACACACCAACTGCTGAAACTTCCTCAGCTTCACGAAGGGTTTTTAAACCTGAAAGCTTGCTTAAAAATTGTTTTCCAACCATTTAAGTTGCTCTAATAAAAGATATCAGATTCACCCAAAGAACCTTGTCTGCCAACACTACTAATGCTTTTGAATATTCCCCATCCCAGCAATTATACACTGCTGAATCAGGAATTCTTTACAATCTAAGAACTGTGTAAAATTCCTTACAATCTTACAACTCTGTACTAATGCAGTTACATGCATGCAGTTCTGTCTCTTTTTACCATAGCGTTGTAGTAAAATATCCTAACCACTTGCTCTGGGCTAACGTAGGTAGGCTGCATGACTAAACCCACATCTTAGAGTGTGTTAATATAAAACAACTATGCAGGGCCAAAGCCAAAAGAGTGTGGTGATGCAGTCACACCACAATTTGTCGCTGCTGTCCCCAGCTGATATGTTTGCAAGGGAAGCCCAAGAGCAGCTCCTGCCCTGTTCCAGCTGCAGGCCGTGGCTCTATAGGGTCTCAGGCTCGGCAGGAGATAGTGGCATGCAAGTTCCTGCTTCCAATACCTGCTCCCTTCCCAGCCCTTACCTGCAGATCTGCCCTGCTGGCCACATGCAGGTGCTGATGCAGGCATAGGGGGAGAACCAGAGTTGCCCCTGTTCTGCATTGCAGGGAGTGACAGTGTGGGAAGCAGGGCTTAGCTGGGGACAGTAGCAATGTGCAGGCCCCTCCTTCCACTGCCTGCTCCCAACCAGTTGGTAACCTGGGGTGGTGGCAGGGGGGAAAGAGGGTACTTAGGGGGCTGGAAGGAAGAAACTACTTGCTGCCTCTATTGTTCCTGGCTGAGTCCAGCACCCCACACAGCTGCATAGTAGCAGTGACTGGGCCCCAATTCCAGGTCAATTGGGGACAGCAGTGGCAGTGTTAGCAGGAGGCAGGTCAACCCCCACCCAACACTTCATGCACCTGATCCATGCTTGGCTAACCAGTGTTCCTTGCCAACCCAGCAGCTCCAGCCATGTCTTGCCTCCCCACCTGCCATGTGTCACACCCCCACTTTAGAAAATCCTAAATCTATCCATGAAACTATGTACTTATGTAGCTACCACATGTAGGGTCCTATATTGTCTTCCAATTCTACCAAGATAGGTAAAAACTACAAGTCTAACATTTTCTCAATAAAGCTTTTAAATCTGAAGGAAAGACTACAGAAACTATTGGACAGTCAAACAGATATACAGAAAACATTTGAAGAGTTTTTAAGATCTCTTCTTATGGGAAGCTTAATCATGTTTTCTTTGCCCACTGCAAGGGAAGGATAAAACTCTCACTTATTTTTTGTATTTTTAGTTTCAGGGTTATGCAAATTTCCCCAATCCCATTTCTTGGAGGGCAGCTCCTTTAACAACAGCCTAACTGGACAGCAGGGGATGAGATAATTTGTGTGTGGCTACATGAAGCTCCTAGAAGAGCACTTTCCACATAGTGGAAGCTTCCTTAGTCATCCTCTTATGAGGCTTTCAGGGAGGTACATATATACTAGGCAGCCTAATACAGAAAAGTAAAGGAAACTTCCCTGATTAACTTGTGGGAAGAAGGATGACTGATAGTAACTGAGGCTAAGAAAGCCCCCTTTCGGGAAGTGAAATGACATATGTATGTTTAGATTTAAGTATCTTACAGGCATACAGAACAACGTCAGCCATTTATTCTAGGCACCTTGGCAGGATTTTCATTGCAATCAAACTACCAGCTGAGTCCCAACCCAAAGAAGAGATCTTTCTTTAGCTGAGACTCCCCACTCCCCAGAAATCCAATCCATATTTATTACAGCATTCCACCCATAACACCAACAAGTCTGGACTATTCTGCACCAGTGATGGGACCCAACTTAAAATCAAAGCCCACAGGGAGAATATTTCACTGCTAAACTCCTTTTCTTTTAAATTCAGGGGAATCAACGCAGAGCGATGAAGCAACTCTTTCTTTATATAGTCCTACGTAGCAAAAAGTAAACCCATAAATGGCTTTCAGACACCAGCACAACCAAGGAAGATTCCAAAACACTGGAGTCCTGCAGTGTAAATGACCAACACCAAGCAGGCACTGCCTGCCTGTGGCACCAGCTATGTCCCCTCAATGACTCAGAGTTCTGCTGCCAGAAAAGAGTACCGGAAGCTGACTGGTATACTCAGTCAGCTACATGTAAGAATGAGGCAAGCCATGCAGATAATCTAATACAGGACCAAAGGCCCATTTTGGCTTGCTGCGTCTTGTAGCACAGCTTGTGAGCAACAAGAGAGAAGGAATGCCACCCCTTTTGACTTTGGTGACCTTTTTATTATCCTGGATAAATGAGCATATCAGAGAGAACTAGTAACTTTTAGGTGACTACCTTGTCTTTCACATTAAAGGGTTCATTTAAGGATATATTGTTTTTCTCAATGCTGTGGCAGACCAGGAGGAGGAGGACAAGTGTTTCTTATCTTTGGTCTCCTGGCTGAGAGGGTTTATCATTTGGGAATGGAAATCTGCCAAGGCACCAAGGAAAAGCCATATTATATATATCACAAAACCAGACAGCTTTGGAGCCAAACTGAAAAATGCCTTGAGGAATTTGCTCAACCAAAGTAAAGAAAAGGTTCCTGTAGAGATAAATGAGAGATGTACCATTCCTTCTGCTCTGCAGAAGATAGTATACCACCTACTGCACAATTCTGAGAACAGAAAACACTGAATGGCTGGCCAGGGGGAAGGTTCAGCCTGCATCCACAAGATCAAGGCAGGCTGGAGATCCCCTGATAGATTCTACAGACTTGCCCAAGGGAAAAAGAAAGCTTTGGTGACCAGCACCCCTCAGGATTTCACTCTACAATGCAAATTATCACAGGTATAAAAGCCACA